TCCCCTAGTTTGCAGTCGTCAAATTTAAATGGGACCACTTCTGAGGTACCCTCTTTCCAACAAAAAAGAATCATCGAAATCGGTTCACAAATGTCAGAGTTATCGCATAACATACATACAAAAAAGACCATATAGTCCAATTGAGAACCTATGAGAACCTATTATATACCTACACACACAAACACACACCTTTAAGGAAATAATCCATTCATCTCCTTACGCACACATATACAACTTTTACCTTTTCTTTCCGGTTACCTTGTCCCCGTTTTATGGCTTATATAAGAAATTATTCACCTGTATGTTACCTTACATTCTAACTCCATGTTGATTCTCTATTCTGATTTTTTACCGGCCTTAGGATCTGACAGAATCATCAGCGTCGTACTTCAATTGAACTGCGGCTTAATGGTGAGTCAGGTCATTTTTGCTGACACAGTATACTCAACTCTACACCTGACACAATTTAACACTCCAGACCATGCCCGCAAACTTAGACTAGCCTTTTTCTTTATGATTCCCATTGTACCTATGTCATAAGCTTGTTTGTAATGTACTGTGATTCAGCAAATAAAAGAGTTATCTAGCATCTATTGCTTGGTGATGGTTTCAAATCATGAGTTCTTATCTTCTACTACAATTTTTTTATTCGTGTACTTGGAAAGCTTAAGTGGCAATGGGCGGAGCACAGGTAGCTGATGAGGCCAAAGTGGCGATCGCGTATATGATGGACTAATGACCTGGTGAAGGTGGTGAGAATCCACTGGATGCAAGTAGCTAAAGACTGGCCATTGTGGCAATCTTTGGGAGAGGCCTGTCCAGCATTAGACGTCTTTTGGCTGGAATGAAGATGATGTTTATGATGATGATGGCTTGGAAATTTTACAGAGTCGCCTGTATGAGAATTGCAGACGTGGCGAGATAAATAACTAGAAACAATCTAGGTTAAGCACTGTAAACTATAGATTTATTTATGATGCGGGGTTCGGCATACATTTTTCACCTTCTGCTAGATTCTTTTTTATGGGATAAGTGAAAAATAATTGTAATTCTTCGGCGACTCCATTCCTATGCATCTTCCAGCGCCTTATCGCAAGATATATCGCACTGCTGTTTCATTTCCTTTCTAAAATTGGCCTCACATTGCAATTCTTTACAAGTTTCTCTGTAAGCGAGTCTGCAAGCTTTTTGGCAGAATTTAAAATTCTTGTGACATTTGCCAAGGTATCTCAAATTAGGTTTGATAGGATATTTAGTAATTTTGTTGAAAATATTTCTCAAATTTCTACTAGGTGTTAGATGTAAAGGCGATATTGCAATTGCACTGTCAAAAGTTTTATCAGAATCTCGAAACTCCTGTTCCTCAGAAGATTGATTAGTACGGTCGTTATTGTAAACTGCGTCTATAACCCCATTAGATATTGAATTCCATTCAACGGTTATATTCTTCACTGTTTCCGTTTTCATGATAACATTTTGACTTTTAGATAGTCCTTGATGAAAAATTCCAAATAAAATCTCTAAAGCTACGATCGAATACATACCGATTAAGAAACAGACAGCTATAATGCAAAAAAGGTTTGTAATTAACAATTCAGTTAATATAGTCTTTGTTAGTTCCACATTATGATAGATAAATGGGATCCGATTAAGTCTCGTTTTACGGTAAAGAAGAGGTAATTATTACGCTGCCATTACTTCAAAGGCAGTTAACAAATTGCAAGATGTAGTGCCAAACGGGCGACACGAAGGCTGGCAATTACGATGGTCATACAAAGGCCTAATGCCGCAAGAATTTTACGCAACGCTGCTTCGAGAATATAAATAATTTCACCCATTTAATATAATATTTACTGTAATAATAATAATAATTTTTGTTGAGTTATTACAATGGCAGCCCTCAACGACATCATCCGCCGGGCCTTAAGACGCTGACAGGCGTCGATGACCTTGAGCGATAACGCGCCTACTATAATTTCTCCAATATGATAGATGGACCTTCCGCTTGATTTAACATAATATTGATTGCCGCTAACAGATGGCGTTGTACTTAAAATACACATATCCTATCAAACCAAAAAATATCAAAGCACATAAGAACTGGACATGTCATACAAACAAGAAACAACCCACACCTCGAGTGAAATTGAGTTATGTATTTAGGTAGAACACCAGACGTGTCCTTTACCCGCTCATAAAAGATCCTGGCAACATACCAAGCCAAAACGGAGAAAATAAAAGTCTTTCAGGGCACCAACCCGCTTATTCTCATACATTAATGCAAATGTTTATAAACGTTTCTTCTACAGGCTGTAAGTGAATGTAACAAAAAAAAAACAAAATAATGATGCTGACGTCGATAAACGTTGTCATCTATAAGCCGTCCGCCGACATTGCGCGTGTATGCCAGCGATTAGTGTTGCTTAACGTAAGATCAAGACGAGACTAACCCCAGTCTTGGTCTTGATCTCGCGTCGGTACACCTGGTCTAGGTCTTGGTCTTGGTCTCGGTCTCGGTCTTGCTGCAAGAGTCTCATAACTGTTGCAAGTCTTGCAATTGCAATATACAACGACGAATATCGTAATCCGCAGGATACCATAATGTTTGACGATGATCGGTATCTTAAAAAGTCATTAATAACAATAATTCTTAAATAACAAACAACATAAAAACTTTAAACCATTAAAAAGATGAGTGAAGAGAGTATAAAAAAATGTTACGCATTTGCACAGAATTCAGTTCAATTTTTGTTCTGTCAACAGCAGAAACACATACCAAAAATTATAAATTTATCTAATTGATATTGAACTCTATGGGTTTGCGTTTATTTTGAATATCCATTGAGGAAATTTTACGTTTTGGAATAAGCTGTTGTCCGTATGTAAGCGAGGCATGGAAAATTGTAAAAAAAATTTATGGCATTCACCTTCAAAAATTCATTTGTCTGTCTGGCAGTGTGAGAACTGACATTATCGTGATATCGTTTATGGTTATTTTTACGGAGTTTGTCAATAACTTCCGGCAAACAAATGGTCGTGTACCAATGACTATTCACGGTACAACGATTCTCCAAAGCAACAGTAGCCACGTGTCCAGTTTTATTAAAAAAAGAAGCAATCATCAGCTTAGAAGCACTTTGCATGCGCGCCACTTTGGTTGGATTCGGCTTATCTCGAAAGATCCATACGCTCGATTACTGCTTTGTTTTGGGATCGTAACTATAAATCCATGTTTCGTCACTTGTTACTATGAACCACACCAAATTTGACGCCCCTTCGTTGAATCTGGTAAGCATGGCATTGCACCAAGTGACGCGATCCGTTTTTTGAGTGTCAGTCAAATTGTGTGGGATCCACCGAGAGCACAGCTTTTTCACACCCAAATGTTTGTGTAGTATTGATTGTATTTGACTCATGCCTATGCCTAAAGATACCCGAATCTCATGGTATGTTACATGCCTGTCTGTTTTGATCATACGGCGCACAGCATCGATGTTTTTGTTGTTCACAGCAGTGGACGAATCCAGACCATCACGAAATTCGTCACTGAGATTCGCACGACCGCGTTTGAATTCTTTTATTCAATTATAGACAGTAATATTCACTGAGAATACGAGTGCACTAGTATTTTTTCAAAATATGGTTCGATTTTTTTTTCAATCATGAAAATAAGTTTCAGACACAGATTGTGGACGCGTCACCAAAATTAGAAATCAGTACTAAAAAATTATAAATGTACACACGCCAGCACATCAAGCTACATACAGACGTATCTTGTTTAGTTGGACTGGAGGCGATTTTCGAACAAAAATGTGTAGTCTGATGTGCCGTTGTCCGTACTATAGCGTCAACGTAGAAATTATTCTTTAGTGGCTCCAGGTGAAGATTTGGGTATACTTGACTATTAAAATAAAAAATCTAAAATATTACATATCTATTTTGGCAACTTATACTACGACTTTCGATCACGCCGCGTAAAAATCGCAGCTGGGAAAATCACTCATTTACGTTTCAGTGAGGGTCAGAAAGAGACTGTTTTATTTAAATATTTGATGCCTTGTTGAATCGATCTGCTTTGAAATCGCCTTGAAACAAATCGATACATACGTTTAAATTTGAATCGATCTTCATTAAAATCAAATTGCAAAGTGCGTCCCTACTTCAGCACTTTTAATTTGAAGACACCCTAAATATAATAAAAAATTAATTTAGAATGCGTGTTGTCATTTGTAAGTTAAGAACCAAGACAATATGTATGCAATAGTAACACGTGTGTGTTACTTGCAAGCAGTGTTGGGCGTTAATCCCAAAAGGGCCCGGTTGGAGGCCCCGGTTGAAGGCCACGGTTGGGGGCCCGGTTGGGGCCCCCGGTTAGGGCCCCGGTTGGGAGCCCGGTTGCGGTTCTCGCAATTAACAATTGATCAATCGTTAATTGCTGTTTCGCAATTGACAATTAATCAATTGTCAATCTTTAATTGCCAGAACAATTAAATTTTGCCCAACACTGCTTGCAAGGATTTTACGTGATGATTGACTACTGTCCTCAGTAAAAAATATTTCTAGTTTTCAATTGAAAGGTGATTAAACGGAGAAACAACACAATGGAATGTAAATAGTGAGTATTTAAACGTGTCTTTGTTCACTTACAAATGACGTCACGTGGCTTACCTATTATTTACATAACAGATTGAAAATATAACAATTTTCAGATTTCAGTTTTTGATTTCAAAATGCAAATCATCATTATTTCACAAATATATTGATTCAACAGTCGTTTTTATTATAGAAAAATTCTTTTTAACCACATTTAATTTTTTTTCTGATCACTGGCAACGCAGTCGTGGTTAATATTAATTGTGTAATGTTTATTGTTTATATGAGCGGTAATTCATTACCGGTCATATAAACAATAAATTATATATATGCATATTGAAAGACTCAAGACTATATAGATTTTTTCCTTTTTTTATTGTTTTTGTTATAATCGATAATATTTCTGGATCCGCCGTTGTTATTGTTGTAATTAATAAGCACTCTATCATTGACATAGCGCAATTTATGTAATGGGTCCCTAATTCCAGATCGTTGCTTTTAAAACCCCTCTGCAGCCGCCATCAATTAGCTCTCTCCTTTATATAGGTGATAATGTGATTAATTCGTAGGTGATTATATGAAAAACGTTTTACAGATTGATATTCTAATTTTAAATATTCAGAATGTGTATTTCGTCCACTTTAAACATTGGAACGGGATTTTCCCAAATTATAATGAGTAGGCGATACTCCTTCATTACTAAAAACGTTATTCTTGTAGTAACGTGACCCTCCGAGAGCTTCAGAACCAGAAAGATATGTTATACCACCTGCTGTACCACCGGAGTGTAAACCTTCCCAATTGGGAGGTTTTAAATGTGCTCTCCATTTTCCGTAAGAATCGGCATGTGAGTCTGCACTTTGTTTAGAATCTAAATCTAGCCCTCCCCAACTCTTAGAACCAGTGTGTGATCCTACCCAATCTTTAGAATAATGTGATTTTCCTACACTACCACGTACTTTATCGCCAAAATGTATTTTCTTAGGTGATCTGCTCAGTTCTTCTTCTAATCCAACGCCTTTGTGATGATGTTGTACACCTTTCAAATGTAAACTTGACCACTCATCATATGCGTCGTCGTCATCTGGATAATCATTCGCCTGCCAAAAGTCTTTTTCAGAATGATGCTGATGATTAGAATGTGCTACACTATTAGAATGTGATTCATGATTCGAATGTAAACCATGCTTAACACCATGTTTATGACTCCAATCCACCAATATGTCTTTATCGTTTGAATTTCCACCGTTCAGTCCTTCCTCATAGTACCAATTTTTAGATTCGTATGGTGAGTTGTCCTTATTATTATAAAGTGTAGGAAAGTCCTCCATAACACTGTGTCGAAGGGGTGTCCTACTTCTTGCTACAGATTTGTGTTTTTGCAAGTTTGTTGGTAAATTTAATTCAGATTTAGAAGTAGTTGTAGATGGTTCAGTGATAGTATCAATATCTGAAGAATCAGTTGCATCGATAGAATCATGCGTAGAAGCAGTTGCATCAATTGAATCATCTACAGTATCGGACTTCTTCGTGGATTTTTCATCCGGTCCCTCTGGGTCTTGTTCTAAAATTTCATCAGTACCACTTGAAGGCGTCAAATGATCTTGTTGAAATCTTCTTGATACGTAATAGTCAGCTTCTCTTTTTATTTTTATTTTAGGTGCTGAAACCTCGATTAGTTGTGATATATGACGACCTGCTATTGCATCTAGCTAAAAAAATAATAAGCGTTTAAAAAATAGATAACGACATTTTTTAAGGGGGGAAAACAAATTATATCCACTGCATCTAATAACACACCCAGCTTATGACTAATAAGTAAATAAATGTTTTCGGACAGACACATTTGAAATATCATCCATACTTAATCACATTTTAATCTCAACAACTCGTAGGTATAGTACATAGATACCATATTGTTTTTAGATTAGGGAATAAAATATTAATATGTCTTTTCTCAGTATCTTTTATGTCAATTTTAGGATGAGGAATTGGTCTACTAGGAATTGGTCCTATTAGGCTCAACTCACATTGGCGCAGAGTCGAAGCGTCGCGACGCGTGTTTTCACCTATAGCATATTCATCTCTATTTTCCCATAATTAAGGTACTTTGTGTTATGCAAATATGGAGTCAAGAGTCGACGCGCGTCGTGTTACTGGAGCGCAGTGAGGCGTCAGACGCCGACCACACTGTGATCCGGGCGCACTAATGCGGGCGTAGTCGCATTAGTGCGCCCAGGACGCAAAAACAGGACGCGACGCGACGCTTCGACTCTGCGCCCGTGTGAGTTGAGCCTTAATATTACAAAACATAATCACAAATCATCATAATCAATCATCATCATCAACACATTTATACATTCCCCTGTTGGGCTCTTCATATGCAAGGGTGAAGGCCATTTGTTCGCCACTCAGCCCAATGCTGTTTGGACTTCACATATTTTCCGAGGGTTGTGAACCTTCTGCAACGTCAATTCCGAGAAACTCAGTTGTGCGAGATTCGGACTTCGGATTCGAACCCACGGCCCCTGCTTGAGAGGCGGTAGGTCAAACCATTAGGCTACCATGGCACTGTTTCACGGCGTCAAAACAGAATGATGTAAGAATCCATGAGGAAACAGAGGTTTTGTAATATTAATTTATTTTTGATAATATTTTTCGCCATGTATAAGAACATTTTTAAAATAAAGCATAAAATTAAAGTTATCCAAATTATATGAGTTTTATTATATTCGCCATAACATTTACATTTTTTTTTTTAATTACTGGCAGCCGCTAAGTTTCAGAGCCTTGTGATTCAGTCAAAGATAATTAAAATAAGTATTTCTACACCGCTACTTTAAAAAAATAAAATCCAAAATCAAAATAAGCTCACCAAATTCATACAGATTAAAAGCGTAAATAAATCACAAACTAAAAATTTCATTATATTTTTTTTTCAATCGATTCATAAAAAAATATTGAGAAATTCAAGCCCGAAGAAAGCAAGACAATGTATAGTACTTTCAATAAAGTTTAAATTATCCCATAGAAATTGATTCCTTGCAATTTATAATCAATTTTTAGCAGTGTGAAATCAAAAACATGATGGAACCACTGAATTAATTTTTGTTTTGTTCCATTAGGGACCCTATTCATTCAATCAATGTGAATTTAAAATGGCCACAGAATAATCAGTTAATGCCACCCTTCAATTTAATACAGCTTTATTATAATTATTAATACAAAGATCGAACAGCAAGAAAATCCCTTCGATCCGCCTAGATTCGAACCAGGGTCATACCGTGCCGACGCTCTCCCAACTGAGCTACGCCACGAAACAGTGGACCTTACGTATTCTTCTATGTAGTTATTGCAGATTTTTGTTTTTATTACTCTTTTGCCGTACCACCATTTATGAAGGAATTTTTGTTAGTGTTCCATGTTTGTATTAATAATTATAAGACTCTAGTGGAGAAATTTAACACAAAAATGATTGAAAATTATGGTGGTAAACCGTTAGGATATTCGATAAACTTCATATTATTAATAATACAGTTCTACTTAAAAGTGTCTAATTGACGTCAAGTTCATTAAAATTATTTGGGTCCATTTTTGCAACTTGCACATCTCTATCTTCCTTGACCACTTCACTTTTGCGTATCTATACGAATTAGTTCGAAATAGGAGTGTCATATAAAAATATCAGCTAGAGAAACGCTTTTCATTTATTGTAGCTTATTAATTGCGATGCCTGTAATTTTTCTTTTTTTCGTCAAACTAGATTTTGTTTTAGGTATTATTTGATAAGCACATATAATATTATGTTAAAAGTAGGTTTTTTTCAATAACATCATGTTATTGATTTGTTAATTGAATTTCACGGTGTACTGACGCCTGCGGCGGCAACTAGTACACACACATAAAAGAATTTCGTCGACTTCGTAACGCGACCTGTAGTTCAGTTGGAAGAGCAATGGAGACAGAATCCCGTGAATGCAGGTTCGGGTCCTGTTGGGCCGAATTTGTTTTTATGTTCGATCTTTGTATTTCAAAATTTAATAATTGTAAGGGTGCAAACGAACGAAAGGAGCCTCCCCACACGACGTAACATTCCTTTCCTGTACTTTGGCGCAGCCTAGGCAACAACCAGCGAGTACTTTATGCCAATTGACAAAGACCTTTCACCACGATGACAAGCATTATCGTGTATCCATACCCTGTACCCATACAAACGCAAGTTATTTTACATAGTCTCATCATAAATACATACATTTTGAAATTTGGTCACAAGTATCTTGTAACACAAAATGTTGATATAAACTCACGTGCGCACATACCCACACGAGCACATGTACACATGCACACATTTTATCATATTGTTATTCTCATAAAATAAAAATATAAATAATATAATCTTTACTCAGAATACCAGTGTCATGGGAAACTGCGGCGTTTATGCTGAGCCAGCGCCTTTTCACTGCCATGACTTGCCATGACATGATTTAATTATTATAAGTGTAGTTATACGTATTGTAAGTTCCTGTTTTTATAAAAATTTGATATTTTTAGTGGTTCAATATAATAATAATTGTGGTGTTAGTTTTACTGGATCCTATGAAAATAAGCTGTCATGGAAATGAATAAAGTTTTTATCTAAGAAAAGAAGAAGATTTAAAACAAAAAGAAATATATGCAAACTCGTATATTTTTTCTTAAAATTATTAATTTATATAAAATTATTCTTACATTCCTTCTTAAAACTGTACTTAATCTTAAACGACAACTGAAGCAAGACACGTTACGACATTGAAGCTTCATGCTTGACAATATCTTTTGATTCAGTCGAGCATTACATATTTGACAGTAATGGTTTCGGTCGCATGTCGGGCGGAGACGGGGTAGTAGACCCCAAGTAACCGACTCAGTTAAACGGTAAGCCTGTAGATACATCCAGCAGACCTAGACCTAAACTAGAAAATGTACTATCTTAAATTCGTTTAAAATACCCAGAACCTCGTACAACCTAGTAACTAGAGGCGTTAACCGCTGCAACAAATATCATGGATGATAAATAGGAAATAATAATTTGAAGGAACTAATGTAGGAAATATTTAATACTAACTAATTATAATAAAACTTTTCTATGAAAATTTGTACTTTACAGTGATATATATACTATCTAGGAGTAGTTTAGCTGAATTATTTTAGAAAATGCAAAAAAATTATAAACTTTATTGCAATCGCATCGATCGTACTTGCTTCAGTTGTTATTAATACGAAAATAAATATCGATTTTAATACAAGGCCATATAAAATTTTGCATTATCTTAATTACTTAAGGACATTAACAAGTTTATTTAGAACTTGTCTCCATACCCCACCTTTTTAAAACCTTTTATTTGGCTTGGACCTTAACTTTCTTTTATTTAGTTTATTTTGACTAAATATTGCATCGTTGACATAGAGACCTACGCATACAACGAACCAACAGCTACTTTTATCATTTTTCATACTGTTGGCAACTCCAACGCCCTCAACAGCGTTGTAGTTATGCGAACCTGGAGCATTGTTGTTGTTGTTAATATTATTATTAGTACGAATTTGATTAAAAGAGATTAGGGATAGTGGTTTCCTCTTCTTGTTACTCTTTTTCTTATTAACAATACTTCTGGATATGCCCCTGTTATTGTTAATATTTTGAATCGTTACTCTGTTGTGGTTTATGTTCCATTTTTGAACATCACGTTCCCCACTTGTTGGCTCCTCACTTTGTCTTTCTGCCAATGATTTTCCCGTATAACTGGTTTGAGCATTATCATCAACTTGATGGTGATGATTTGAAGAATGTTGTCCAGTTTTATCAAATGCACGCAGTTCCTCAATAAAATTGTGTCTAAGGGGTATCCTACTTCTTGCTACAGGTTTGTGTTCTTGAATGTCAGTTGGTAAATTTAATTTAGTTTCAGAAGATACTTCAGCTGTTCCGGTGCTAGTATCGATGTCTGTAGAAGTTTTTGAATCTGTAGAAGCGTTTGCATCATTTGAATAATCTGTACGATCTGGCTCTTTTGTCAAATCATTTGAAGTGTTCGCATGACCCTGTATGAATCTTTGGAATACAAAATATTTAGTTTGTCTCTTTATTTCGATTTTAGGAACTAAAGGCTCTTTTAGTTGCGATGTCGAACCACATATCGTTACGTCCAGCTGAAATAAAACAAAATACATATTTTTAGACACTGGGACATGATATCAATAATGTTTACTGTGAAACTAACTATGGTCTCCATGATCGTTAATAACCCCAGACCTGGGGTCCTAATCTTGAGTGTCGTTTTTCCACTATGGATGATCTACAGACTTGAGTTTCGATCTGGGTTAGAACTAAGAATGAATGGCAACATGATTTGACAGTTTCAAACGGGCCGTTTCACAGTTTCGAACGGGCCCGTCTTTTCTTTGATGGACTTCAAGAATAGTTCCGTTGGTCATCCATTGCGGAAAAACGGCCGTAACTACGTATTCCGTGCTTCGAAGGTAGGGCCAGGGCTCCGTCACTCTCTACGCGATAAGTGCCTACCGCTGAGTGTACTGACGTCGGCACAAGCGCTTATACAAGTCTTTCATTTATGAGCATTCGGTTCCGCACGACTGCACACGGCGGGCAACATTATTTTCACCTGTCTGAGCGTGTGCTTAGGTTCCTTTTACCTCGTAGTGAGCGCCTGGTGTCAATAGCCAGATTTAGTAGATTATCTGAGAATCATGTATCTGTTACGTAGTAAATATTAAGTAATGGCGTAGAGCCCCTGACTAGTGCTGTGTTCGGACTTGAGGAGTCTGTCATAAACAACGTCATTTTTTATTATATATTTATTTTTATTAGATTGATTATAATTTTAAACAATTTACTGTTGGGTATTTATCTCTTATACACGATGCAGTCGGATGTCACTAGAGCGACGAGAAATTAGTCTCCCTTCTAGACGTGATTCTTAAATTTCTTTGTGCCCTGTACCGAGACTGTATACAGTCACTATTGTCATTATTACTATATTATGACTTCCAACATTTTTTTCTATTTTCTTCTCTGGTCTATCTACAGTGGTTTGAAATTTTAAAACCGATACCGGTTGGCAAATTATTGTAAATATAATTTGCGAAAATTAAGATATTCATCACAGTATTTACATATGGATATATTTATACCAGTATCGCGGATTGGTATCTCGATTATGTGAGTATAATTAATTCATAAATACAAATGAAATGCGAGTTTGTTTACATATCGTTTGATTTATAAATAAAATACATATAAATTTCACTCACAAAAATATTTTCGTCGATTACGATTTATTTTAGAGACTTTATTATTAGGTAATCGACAGTAAAACAGATTTTCATGTGAATGAGTAGAATTTGAGGATACAAGGCATTCTTGTTTAAAACAACCTTAAACACAACAATAAACACGTCTAGCGTTTGATGACATTATTTAAATACCGAGCGAAAGCTTCAAGTGTGTAATGAATAGCGCTTGGGAACCGTGCTGTGCAACGCGAGTGCCACGCGAGATTCTGCGAAAGTGTGCATCCGTATACGATGCACGGCGGGTGTGCACACATGCAAGCCGCACTGCTACGTTTGTACGTAGTTATCTTACGATACTGTGTGGTGTAAAGAGTTCGTCCAGGCAAGTACCACCTTACCTCTTTCTGACGCCAAGCAGTAATGTGAGCATTACTGTGTTCCGGTTTGGAAGGTAAGTAAGGTAAGGGTGCTGGTGAAATTACAGGCATTTTGAACTTGTCAATTTATGTCCCAGGGTAACGGGCGCAGGGACAGTGCCTTTAAAATCTTTGCGATTTAATGCTCTGAGTGCACTGCAACTGTCATGGATAGGCGTGTCACCTACCATCAGGCGCACAACTTGTTCGTCCCGTGACTTGGTAATATTACAAAAAATAAAAAAAAGCTCCTTCTCAATATTCAAATTCAACAATGGGATCGGATGTTTGTATGAATAATAATTGAATTCAAAGTCTTAAAAATACTTACCGTAATAATACAGATTAATAATATAAATATATCGGAAATTACAAGTTTCATTATATTTTTTACTACCGATTCATTAAAATAGTTTTCATAAATTCAAACCAGACAAAGAAAAACAGTGTAGTTTCTGTCAATGTGAAGTTTAAATTTCCATTAGAAAAAGCTTTGTCGTAATTTAAAATCAATTTTTGACTATGTGAAATGAAAACGGTCGAACAGGTGAATTTATTTGTTTCATTAGAAACCTTATTCATTCAATCAACTTAAATTTGAAATGGCAATAGGAAAGTTAATCAATGTTGACCATACAGCTTTATTAAAAAAAAAGTAAAAACGCCAATATTTTAACAGTTCGCTTGCATTCAAATTTTACACTCGCTAATGATCAATTATTATGGCATCTTTACCAAGAAGCAACTTTTGCATACCAATTTGATGGATATCGTTTGACATTTCAATTTTAACACCAGTGGAGCGCCTTGTAAAAGAGTTCGTCCAGGGAAGTACTTATTTATTTCTGCCGCCAAACGGTAATATGAACATTACTAAGTTCCAGTTTGGAAGGGTAAGGGTGCTGGTGAAATTACAGGCACATGGGCTTGTCGACTTATGTCTCAGGCTGACGGGCGCAGGGACAGTGGCTCTAAAATCTTTGCGATTTAAAGCTTGAAGGGACGGCACTGCAACTACCAATATGGAGAAGCGTGTCGCTTAATACATGGCGAACGGCTTATAAAAAAATGTTTTCTTAAACGTCGATACGACCCGGGGCACTTTAGTGTTTGAATTGTTTTTTGTAATGGATCGTAATGACATTTGTTATGCACCTCATTCAGATTCAAGCGACTCATCACGCACTGGCTTTATAAGCATAAACTGTGCGACTTGACTAATAATCGTCAGCCATCAGTGACAAAGCGTAATTCTAGGGTCGGCAGACTAAAGCACATAAGTCAAAAAAGTGCTTCATTTGTTAATATATAATTATATATTTTTTTGTGTTGTTTTTAGTGTTGTAAGTTAAATAACCTCTAGAATAAAGTTCGAAATTTATGAAGTAACAAATGAATTTGACTTATGTGCTTTAGCCAGTAGATGTATTAATTTAAATGAATGATGTTGGATTTTGACTTATGTGCTTTAGTCCGCCAACCCTAGAATTATTATAGTGTGTTTTTTTTATTGGAATAGTATCCGAAACTATAGGAGATACAGGAATACTGTCTTAAGAATCATTAAGTCTTTTTTTGGGAAAACAATTTCGCTGTAGTAAATTTTTTGATCAAGCGTGAGTTGGCCAACAACATTAATAAAATTGATTAATTTTTTTTAGTACTGATTAACTCACTTTAATGCAAGGATCATTTCATTGTATAAGACGAAAAAATCGGGACAGCAGAAGTTGGTTAAATTTTATAAAATATTTTTCATACAAAGTGCCGATAGATTTAGTTTCATATATGGATCATTTTACTGTATTGGAGGAAAAAATTGGAGCAGCAGAAGTTGGTCTAATTTAATTTGAAATTTAAAAAGCTTTTTCACACAAACGCGTACCTACCGGTTGCAAAATCTCGACATGATTTATAAATTCAATTGCAGTAAGTTCATGAACATTGGATACAATATTTATGTGGTCTGTGGATACAATCGTG